AGGAGTTTAGATGGTGCGGTGGGTAGAGCACTGGCCCTGGAGTCAGGAGGTTCTGAGTTCAAATTTAGCCTCAGCCATTTACTGGCTGGATGACCCTGGACAAGTCACTTCATCTATTTGCCTCTGTTTCCTCAATTATAAAATGGGGATAATAATAGCCACTCCAGGAAACTGAGGCAAACAGGGTTAAGTGACTCGCCCAGGGTTACAGTTAGGAAGTGTCTGAGACCAGTTTTGAACTTATGAAGATGAGTCTTCCTGATAGAGCTCAGTGCTCTATCTATTGTGCCAACTAACTGCCCCTCAGATAATATTAGTAAAATGCTTAAGACAGTGCCTAGCATATAGTGGGCACTATATAAATGTTAGTTTTTTATTATTACCATTATTAGCTAGGAGAAAAAGCCTCCTGAAGAAGGTAGCACTTAAGTCCTACGGAACATAGAATGTGAAGGCTGGAAAAGGACCCATGAGATCAGCTAGTCAAATCCTTCCATTTTACAGAAAGAGAAACTGAGGCCCAGAAATAGAAATATATAGAAGAAGCGGTAGCCTTGCCCACCTCAGTAAATAGTAGAGACGCTTTAAGGTCAGACAGCTCCTTTGCAGACCAAGGTCAGGTGAAAGATAGATGAGACAAAGAAAGCCAGTGGAAACAGAAGGTGGCATGCTTGATTTTCCTTATTCACAAGTTTGGTGTTTGGATATATTTTTCTCAAGGCTAAAGCCTCCTTGTTTTTGTCTCTCCTGTGTGTACCAGGTTTCATGTCATTGGGCTTTTTATTTTCTTTTTAAAAGCCTGGATGGCTGACAAGTTCTCGTTCCTGCCCCCTACCTTCTTATTTCTAAAGGAGATTTTTATGCATTACTTATTTACTCAGCATCCATTAATGTCCCTGCCCCAGACCTCCAACCCAGTCAAGGGCAATTCCTGGTCTTCGAGAACATTTCTTTCTCAGTCTTACCCAAATTTGCACTAGGTTAGTGATAGAGCTCAGCCTAGAGCCCACTTCTCTCTGCTGGTCTAAACAGCTTTATTTTTTTTAATTTAAAAAAGTTTCATTTTTAAACAATAGAAATCTATTTTCTCTTCCTCCCATCCCCTATCCCATTAAAAAGGAAAGGAAAACTCATTTCTTGTATACTTAGGCAAAATGAATTCCCCCATTGACCATGTTTAAAAATCCAGGTCTGATCCTGCCCCCTGAACTGTACACCCCTCTGTTCCCCACCCCCCATCAGGAGGTAGATAGCATCAGTCCTCAGGAATCATGGATCGCATTGATGAGAGCTCTTCCAGCTTGCAAAGTGGTTTGTCCTTACAGTTGGGTTGTTAACATACAGAAATTGTTCTCCTGGTTTTGCTCGTTTCTCCTGCACCAGGTTGATTCCCCAGCTCACCCCACGCCCAACTTTCTTACTTAAAATGTTGTTTCACACAAGTCACCCAGGAAGGGTGCAAAATTCATTAAGTGTTCCCCTTAGCTCCCAGAGGCTTCTGCTCAGTTCTTGTCACTCACTTTTTAGCACGTAAAAACAACATGTCAAATCCTGGAACACAGAATGTTAGAACATCCCCCTTCTACGTCCTAAAGATCAGGTGTCTTTCAATGCTTTGTAGTTCAACTCCCTTATTTTACAGACTGGAAAACTGAGATCAAGAGAGGAAAAATTACTTGCCCAAGGTCACAGAGCAAGTCAATGGTCAATCCATCTTTCTTAAGGTCCTATTACTTAGAGCTAGAAAAGATCTTGGAAATTATTTCATCTAATTTTATATATGAGGAAACTGAGGCTTAAGAGCTGGGAAGTAAATTGCCTGAGACTCACACAGTGAGTTGGTGATGGAGCCAGCACTCAAATTCAAGTCTCATACCACTGCATGCTAACCCTCCCAATTTGAATTCAAGGCTTTTAAACTGAATCCCCTTTTTACTATACCATGCAGCCTTTCATAATTACTTTTGGAGTCAGGAAGACCTGGTTTTGAATCCTGCTTCACATACTTACCAGCTGTGTGTGATCCTAGGCAGGTCTGTTAGCATTTGTGGGCCTCAGTTTCCTCATCTGTAAAATGAGGGGTTTGGCCCCCATGACCCCTAAGGGCCCTTCCAAGCCCTACATCTGTGGCCGTGTGAACAATAATACAATACAACAAATATTTCTTAAGCATCCACTATAGCTTTGCACACTGGGGAAGTATAAGATTTAGAAAAAAAAAACCCACTATCCTTTCCCACAAGGAGTTAGTAAAGAGCTTAGAGTTTAGAAGAGAAGTCATTTTCCCTCACTGGGCCTGTGTAATGAAAGGATTGGTTTCATTGGACTTTTCTGTAAGGTCCCTCCAAGATTCAGTTCTAACTGGCTTCATGACCTTATATAAGTCATTTCTCCTCTGGGTCTCAAATTTTCTCCCAGAAGGCAGAATGAAGGCCAGCAGGTGAAAACTGTAAAAAGTCAGATTTAGTCTTGAACAGCATGCTATCAGAGCTTTTCCAAAGCAGAATGGGATGCCTTGGGGAAGTTGCAGTTTCCCTCTCAGAGGTGTTCAAGCAAAAGCCAGATGACCTCTGCTCTGGTATGTTACACAAGGGATTTTCTTTTTAGACTAGGTCTCCCTATCTCACCCAGGCAGGAAGTGCAGTGGCCTATCGTGAGCCCAACCCTGCTATCAATAGGTGTGGGAACTGTGACCTACTCTGTTTCCAACCTGGGCCAGTTCACCCTTCCGTAAGCAAACGGTGCCAGGACAAATAGTATGAACGCCCAATCAAATTAGCCCACTGCTGCTCCGAACTGCTGAGTTCAAGCCAGCTCCTAGCCTTGGTCTCATTAGTAACAGGGATTATAGGTGTGGGCCTTCCCTCCTGGCCCTCAGTGGAGATTCCAGTTCAAGGACAGGTTGGGCTAAAGAGAGAGTCCCTGAGGTTCCTCCTAACCTTGAGAGTGTGAGATTTTTCTGTAAAGTAAGAAAATGGGACAAAGTCAGTGAATTTCGAGCTGGAAGTAACCCCAAAAACCATCTACTCCAATCCCCTCCTTTTACACGAGGGAAAACGGAGGCACCAAGCTAAGATAACCTGCCCAAGATTTCACAGGTAGTAAAGAGACGTGATTTCCCCCCAGGTCTTCCGAGTGGCAGTCTCATTCCAGTCTCATCTCTAATATTTCTTCCATTTCTTCCCAATAGTCTCCAAGGTACTTTCTCCTCCACTCTCATTCCCTTCTTTGTCCATACGGTGGCTGAGTCAGGCTGGAGTTGGGCCTTGTTGCATAACCCAAGATCTGACAAAAGTGACTATTTCATATTTAATGACCACAGAGTTGTATAATCACCTGGGGTGACTGAAGAATAATCTCTGGAGCTTTCTCTCTCATCTTGCTTTCTTAAACCTTTGGAATGGATCTATGTAAGAAGAGCTGAGCCTGGCACAGGAGCTCAGACCATTTGGATGTCATTAATAGTATGCACAGTAAACAGGCTGGAACACAATACAGGGCTTAGGGTAACTTTTCTACCCCGCTTTGTTTCCTGAAATTCTGAACACCCTGGCCCTCCCAACTAGGGTTTGGCATGAAAGGCACCTGAACAGGCTTTAATCTGAAAATTGGCCTATCTGAAAGGAACAGGAGGCCAGCAGGGGGAAAGGGGTGGAGGATAGGATGGATGGGTTTGGGGGACTGGGTACAAGCCAGCTGTGTTTGTCCTCACTCTGTATCAGAGTCCTGGGCAGATAGAGTTGCTGGCCCTTTAAATGTTTCATGGGAGCAAGGCCAGGGAGAGGGAGGTAAGTTCAGGAAGGGAGGGCTGTCTGGCTGAACCAGGCAGAGTGCTTGGGGAGGCACAGAGCCTTCCTCAAATAGGCTTATCTTGGAATCCTATGAGTAGTCCTTGGTGCCAAAGTGTAAGACATGACAGAGGCACTGGGCTCCTTCCTGGCTTGAAGTGACTTCTTTTCTTGGGTGAGCTGACATTGGTCAAACTCCACTGGAGAACTATGTCCAGTTCAGTGCATTATGGGCTAGATTAGACATTGATGCACTAGAGAGGAGGATCTTGGTGTCACAGATTGGGCACAGGGAGGCAAAGAGACCCAGAGTTTGTGACCTGGGCTGAATCACTTTCCATCTTTGGGCCTCAGTTTCCTTTTCTGTAAAATGAGACTAGATAATATCTAAGGTCTTTTTCAGCTCTTCAGATAATGATCCTGTACAGAGAAGGATAATCTACTAGGATCAGTAGAGGAAATGTGGATGTTTAACCTGGGGAATAAAAGACCTGAGGGAAGGGGGTCTTCATGTGCCTAAAGAGCTGTCCTAGGGAAGAGGAAGTGGACTTTTTTTGCTTGGTCCCAGAGGGAAACAGATTGGGATAATGCACGGCAGTGAATTCCTTGTCTAGACATTTTCAATCAAAGATTGCATGACCACTTCTTGGATATGCTATAGATTTTTAACTAGGGGCTGTACTACATGCCTTTTGAGGTTTCTTCTGACTCTTAAATGTTGTGATTCTATGACAAGGCGGATTTCATCTCTATATAAGGAAGGGAATCCTAAGACTCAGAGCTGGCCTACGATGAAATGGGCTGCCTTAGTAAGGAAGGAGCTCCTCATCACTGGAGGTATTCAGGCAGAGCCTAAATAATTATTTGTTGGGGACATTGTAGAAGGAATTACTTCAGGGGTTGGGAGACTGGACAGGAAGAATCTGAGATTTCCGTCAGGGCTGAAATTCTTGGTGCTGTCCTGGGAGTCAGAAGACCCAAGTTCTAACCTCACTTGTGCTATTGACTTATGATGTCTTCTAGACCAAATCTGTCTCCTGTGAAATGATGGAATGGATTTAGGTGGTCACTGAGGTCTCTTCCAGCTCTGACGTTCTGTGTCTCGGGGTCCTTCCCAGCCCTGACATCCTGTGGTTTTATAAAATTGCCCTTTATGCTGGGTGTTGACATCTCTCAGACCCTGACCCTGCCCTCGTTCTTTTTGTCTTCCAGGCTGCACAATGCTGTGGTCCCTCTGGCTTCCTCTCCTGTTCCTGGCCCCTTGTGCCAGGGCCATCCACCCATGTTTCCCAGGCTGCCATTGTGAAGTGGAATCCTTTGGCCTGTTTGACAGCTTCAGCTTGACCCGGGTGGACTGCAGTGGCCTGGGTTCCCACATTGTCCCAGTCCCGATCCCCCTGGACACAACCTACCTGGATCTGTCCTCTAACCAGCTGGAGGCAGTCAATGAGTCCATGCTCACAGGACCAGGTTACACCACTTTGGTGGGCCTCGACCTGAGCTACAACCGCATCACCAAGATTTCTTCCACCACCTTCTCCCGGCTCCGATATCTAGAGTCCTTGGACCTAAGCCACAATGCGCTGGCGGCCCTGCCTGAGGAGAGCTTTGCCAGCTCTCCCCTGAGCGAAGTGGATCTGAGTAGTAACAAGCTAACAGAGATCTCCATGGACGCCTTTACTTCTCGAGGGCAGGGGAAACCCCTCAATGTGGATCTCTCCCATAACCTCCTTACCCGGGTGATTCGGCCACACCTGGACAGGGGCACCCCCAACATCCAGAGCCTAAACCTCTCCTGGAACCAGCTACAGGACGTGCCTGACCTCCAGGGTCTCCCCCTGCGCTACCTCAATCTGGATGGCAATCTCCTGAGCAGGGTCCAGGCAGGGGCCTTCGCTGGGTTGAAGGACCTCATTCACCTGTCACTCAGCAGCCTCCGCCGCTCTACAGAGCTTGCCCCGTTTGCCTTCCGTGACTTGCCGAGCCTCCAGGTTCTGGACTTGTCAGGCAACCCCAGCCTTCAGTCAGCCAGGGCCGAGGTCTTCTCCAGCTTGAACTCTCTGCAGGAGCTGAATCTATCAGGCACGGGGCTGGCAGTCCTGCCTGACAGGCTTCTGAAATACCTCCCATCCGTCAAGAGCATCACCCTGGGGAAGGACATCTGGTGTGTCAAGGTGGTCAAAGAGGGCCAATACCGACGAGAGCTGGGCCAGACCAGAAAGGAAGTCTTGTACTGCCATGATGGCCACGGCGCCATGGCCAAAGCCCCCTATGTGTTGTAATAAACGTCACAGATATCACCAGGAGAGGTGGAAATAGGGAAGGCCCCTGGAGGGTCTGGGGAAGGGTAGGACCCACATGGAGGTGGAAGGAAGAAAAGCTACACTACACCTCCATTGCAAGCAGATACTGAGGCCTACCCTCATGCCATTTTTTTTGGGTAAGCCTGTCAGTTTAATTTATATTTATATGTGCCAATACCAGGTTCAACTCCTGATAGAGAAAGAGAGAGAGAGAGACAGACAGACAGAGAGAGAGAGAGAGAGAGAGAGAGAGAGAGAGAGAAAGTGTGTGTGTGTGTGTGTGTGTGTGTGTGTGTGTGTGTGTGTGTGTGTGTGCGCGCGCGCACGTGTGCATGTCCTACTATTCCTCTGCCTAGAGGCTCCCCCGTGAGGCCACTCTTGCTCTTGCCCTGAGCAAAAATTCCCAACAGGGCTTCTATTTCCTAGTCTCCTGAGTAGCACCTGGGACCAGTTAGAGAATATTGGGAACCAGCCATCAGAGCTGAGGTGTGACAGGAAACATTTCTGACTCCAGAATGCCCCTGACTTGGACATCCCCTTTCTGGACTCTGAGGGAAGAGATGGAAATCTTCAGGAATACCCCACCCATGGGTCTGGGGAGTCATCAGAGCTTAGGCGGAAGTTCAGGACCAAGAGAAGAAGGAATAAACATGCCTGAGGGTGTGTCCTCTCCATCTCAGATATCTCTGGTCCCTCCTCCAGCATTCCCCAGCTCACATCTCCAATTTTCCCCTTATCCTTGACTTAGTTATCCTCTGGCTCGGACATCCTCCCTCCCTGACCCACACCACCCACAGCCATGTAATGTAGCCCATGGCTCGTTTGGTGCCAAAGTGGGCCCCGAGCCCACCTCTGCCTATATACCCTTGGTGTTTTTCCCAAAGTGCCTTCCCCCAATGCCTTGACTCACACTGTGCTCAGGCATCTTTCTCTTAGGGGGGTTTGTTTTGTTTCGTTTTGTTGTTGTTGTTGTTTTTTTAATAATGGACAAGCTGAACGAATAAATCAATAAAGAAGGTAGTCATACCAAATAAATGTTTTCTCATCTGAAAAACTTCTGGGGTGTGAGGAGCTGTGTACATGTGTTGTGTCCTATTGATTTACTGGGGACCCTTCTGTGCTTTTGTCCTCCCACTCCAGTTATACATTTTGCACCGATTTATTCTTTCCTATAAGACCTTTCCTTAAATACCAGTCTGTGGATAACTGAGGAATATACTGATATAGAAAAAAAAAAAGCATTGATATCTAAGCACCCTAAGGGTTTGAGTAGACTTCACAGTCAGCATGAGTCAATCCTGTCAAATGGAGCCCAGAAAATGAATCAAGTCTTAAGCCACTCTGAGAGGCATGACTTCTAGATTGAGAGAGATGATCACGCTGTGGTGCTGTGGCCTGAGCAGACCACGTCTGGAGGAGATGCCTGGGGTATGTAGGGAGGAGGTTAAAGTTCGGGTGGGAGTGGGGGTCAAGAAGAGAAACAACTTCCCCTCTGCCCAGTCTGCTCAGTTCTAGGTGCCACATCTTAGGAAGGACATTGAGGAAATGGAGAGCATTCAGGAAAGGACCCCATTGATGGAACTAGGGATGTTTAGCCTAGAAAAGGAGAGAGAAGACTTGGGTAAACATGGTAGCTGTCTTTGAACTATTGGGATGGTTGTCTTATGGGAAAAGCCCCAGAGGACAGAAGTAGGAGCCATGGGTAGAAGTTGGATCAAGGCCAATTTAAGTCTTGATGTCAAGAGAAGCTTCTGAGTTCTCCCAGAGTGGAGCAGGCTATACAGGAAGGCAGTAGTGGCCTCCTCCTTAGGGGCTTTCAAGCGAAGGCTGACTGACCACTTGCCAGGTAAGCTATGGAGGGAAATCTTTTTCAGGTATAGGTTGGACGAAGGCCTCCCCAGTTTGGAATTTCCGTGATGAATTCTGCCACTAGATCTGCCTGACCCTGAACCACTCACTATCCTGATCTAGGTCAGTTTCCTTAAGTATAAGACGAAGTGGTTAGCCTAGATCAGAGATTCTTAACTTGGAGTCCATAAACTTCAGAAAGATTGATAGAGATATATATGTATGTATGTAAATACACACATATATATATGTATATCTATATATCCATCTACCATAATATATATAGTGAAATATATGCATATATGTATATATATGCATATTCTAAAATGATGGCACAACTATATATGTGTATGTATAATATATTTTTATATATTATATACACACACACAAATACATACTTGTTGGATGGTCATTTCAGTCATGTCCAACTCTTTGTGACCCATTTTCTTGGCAAGGATACTAGAGTGGTTTGTCATTTACTCCTCCAGCTTATTTTACAGATGAGGAAACTGAGGCAAACAAGATTAAATGATTTGCTTATGGTCACACAGCTAGTCAACATCTGAGGTAGGATTTGAACTCAGATTCTCCTGACTCTAGGACTGGCACTCTAGCCACTGCATCACCTAGCTGCCATATATACATGTGTGTATATATAATATATATATATATATATATATATATATATATATATATATGTGTGTGTGTGTGTGTGTGTGTGTGTGTGTGTGTATATATGTGTGTGTGTGTGTATATATATATATGTGTGTGTGTATATACACATATATATGTGTATATACATATACACACAAGCACATATATAGATGTATATGTATATAACTTTCAATATACTTTATTTCTTTTGTCATGCTATTTATTTTATCTAATACATTTAAAAACATAATTCTGAGAAGTCCTTAGGTTTCACCAGACTGCCCAAGGGGTCCACGACACAGCAAAAGGTAAAGAAGCCCTGGTACAGAGAGCCTCTAGAACCCCTTCCAGCTCTTATATACTCTGATCCAAAGTAGATGGACTTGGCTTTAAATGCCTGTCAGTGAACAACCTGGCATCACCCTGTTGTAGTAAAAAATATCTCTGATACAGGAGTATGCTGGAGCCAGCTCAAATCTGCTCACCCAAGTGTTAAATTTTCAGTATAAGCATTTTCACCCTTGGAAACTAGCAAACCCTACAATTCATTTTATTGATTGTTTAGACTGAAGAAAGTGATGGGAGAAATGTTAACAATATAGATTGAGCTTAAAAGTGTGTTGTCCATACTTTTTTTTTTTGGAGAGCTGGTTGTTACACACTTAGCAGCAGCGCATCCTTTCCACAGGTGACGGGTGGCATTAGTAGATTACACAATCAATTCAAGAAGAGAACAGCAGCTGAAAGTTTGGAAACCAGGGTGTTGGTTTCGGTGGGTCCTCTCTCAAAGCCTGTTTCCTCCTCTAGATGATGAAGGGAGTGGGCTGGATCTAACTCTAAGCGCCTTTCTGTCTCTGAAGACTTCTGAACTTCTTGACCTGCCCTAATCTTCTGGAGGTTTTCCAGCTTCTCAGTGCCCTTCCCAAAAGGCGGTGCCCCAACTGAGCACAGGCGATGGAATTTAACAAGGGCAGGGGATCTCGTCTGTCTCTGCTCTGGACACTGTGACTATCCAGAAGGCTAAAATCCCATCACATTTTTTAAGTTGTCCTATTACACACTGAGTCATGCTGAGTTTGTGGTCCAAGAGCCTCCAGATAATTTCCCCAGGAACAGCTATGCCTTTTTGTTCTAGCTGGGGCCCAATAGGGGCCTCCATGTGTAATGAGGTTATTGACCTGAGACCTGCACTAAAGCTGCCTATACTCTACCCAGACCTGTCTAATGAGAAGAGACGAGCTTCAGTTGTGGTCTCTTTCTCAGTTTCAGGCCACGACTCATCTCTTAGGGCTCAGGGAGGAATTCAAGGCACCCTTTCAGCCAGGTGTTTGCCTTGGTCTAGAGTAATAGCAACCATTAACATTGGAAAGCAGCATGGTGCTATGGTAAAAAAAAAAAATCCTTGGACCTGGAGTGGGAGGACCCATCCTCCTTCCTGGTCACACTCCAGCTAGAGAAGCAACATTGAGAAGCTAGAAGACAGTCAGAGGAAAGCAACCAAGGTAGTGAAGAGATTTGAGTTCATTCATTTGAAGGAACTGGGAATAAATATAGATAAATAAATAAAAATAGAGCAGACTTGGAGAGAGATATGATACCCATGGAAAGGGGACCATATTTGTTTTCCTTGGCCCCAGAGGGTAGAACCAGGAGGAATGTGGTGACATTATAAAGGGGCTGATTTAGGCCTGATGTCAGGAAAAAATTCTTAACCCCCAAGTGGAATAGGTTGCCTTGGGAGACTGTGAACGTCTTCAGCCTTCTAGAAGCAATATGACCCCTTATTAGCCATGTTAAAGTGGGGATTCCTCTAAGACATGGGTTGAATGAGATGATCCCTGAGGCCCTTTCGAAATTTAAAATTCTGTGCCCTGGGTTCAAATCCTGGATATGGCACTTAGCATTTGGTCAGTGTGGCCTCAAACAAGTCATGTGACATCTTTGAGGATGATTCTCTGTAAAATGAGAGGGCAGGCCTAAATGACATCTCAAGCACCATTCAGTTCAAAATCCTAGCTTACATTTAGCCTTTACTATTCATTATTTTGGGAAGGAGAATGTTTAGTCCGAAGAAAAGAAGACTCGAGGTAGAAACATATCTTTGAAGGGCTATCATGTGGAAGAAAGAGAAGACTTGTTCTGTCTGGCTCCAGATGGCAGACCTAGAAGCAATGGTAAGTGACCTGATTGAGCCCTCAGTCATTTACTTCTTAGGTATGGGGACCCTAGGCAAGTTGCTTAACCTCTGGTTGCCTCACTTTCCTCATCTACAAAATGGGGATAATAATAGCACTTATCTGCCAGGGTTATTGTGAGGAGAAAATGAGGTAGCATTTCTAAAGCACTTTGCAAACCTTAGAACATAGAGCATAATGTCAGAGCTGGCAGGGGCCTTAGACTATTGATTATTAGAATACAGAATGTCTTCATGCCAAAAGGTCACACTTTTCATGATAGGATTTGAGATGGCTAGGCAGGAGGTAGAGGAGGAATTTTTTTAGGGCAGATAAAGTTTCCAATCTATCATTAAAACCGCACCTAGCAATAGTCCTATGGAACCAGGCATAATCCTCCTCCTTTCCATTGGGTCAGGCTAAGGACAATCTAAAGGCCTAGAAGGAAAGAGGCCCGGCCTTGGATTCAGGAAACCTGGTATGTAGCCTGGCTCTGACACTAATGGACTGTGTTACCTTGGGCAAAGGATCCAGAGGTGATAGGCCATAAGCACTAGGAAGAACTCAGAGGTCATCTAGTGTAACGGCGTCCTTTCACAGAAGACCTAGAAAGTAAATAGGGAGGTTATCATCCCCATTTTATAGAAGAGAAAACCGAGATTTAAAAAGTTAAATGATTTGACCAGGTTCTGCAGCTAGGAAGTTTTGGAGCCAAGACTTGTCAAGGTCATTTGACTAGAAGATAAAGCTTTTTTCAGCCCGCCATATTGTCATCTCTGGTTGGCCTACAATGTGGTTCTGTGCCTCAGTTTCTACATCTGAAAAATGGAATCTGCTCTACACTCCTCCCATGGCTATGGGGAAGATCTAATTAGCCTTTGAGAGGTCCTCATCACCTCTCACTGGCTATCACCCTGCCTTAACTCTCAGCCCACTCCCAGAATCCTCCACTCAGCTGTCAAATTGAACTTTCTAAAGGTCAGGTCTGGCCATGTCACTCCCCTATTCAAGGACTTATAAGCCTGGCATGTCATCATCATCATCCTCATCCTCATCACTAGCATTTATATAGAGCTCACCATGTGGCAGACACTGTGCTAAGCACTTTATAATTATTATCTTATTTGATCCTCACAATAACCCTGGGAGGTAGGTGCTATTATTATCCCCATTTTACAGATGAGGAAACTGAGGCAAACAGAGACTAAGTGAGGTGTCTGAGGTAGAATTTGAACTCAGGTCTTCCTGACTTCAATCCTACCTATCTACTTTGACACCTAGCTGCCTTTAAGCACTTAGTAAGTGCTTAATAAAGCTTATTGACTGACTGACTGGCTGGCTGGCTGAGAGAAGATCTGAATTCTAATCCTCAGTCTGTTACTTCCTACCTTTATAACCCTGAGGAAGTGACTTTCCCTCTCTTGGACTCAGTTTCCTCCTCTGTATAACAATTTCTAGATAATTCTAAGGACCCTTCTAGCTCTAAATGAGCCCATCTCAAAGGCAAATATCAAAGGACCTGACATCACAGCTCTGGTGCTTTATAAGAGGGTGGGGCTTAGGAGACATTCACTTCAACAAAAACTCCAGGCACTATCCTAGGACATAAGGTTACAAAGTCAAAAAAAAAAAAGAAGAAGAAGAAGAAAAAAAGCTTCTTGCCCTCAAGGAGCTTACATTTTATTAGGAATACAAAATCTGACATGTATGTAAATGTAAGGTAATTCAAGTATGACTTACTCCCTGGGGGTCCAAGATAGGGAAGAGGCCAGGACTGAAGCCTTGAAGGAAGATAAGAATTTTACAAAGTGAACTTGAAAATGAAAGAGCATTGCTGGCACAGAGGACAGCTCCTGCGCAGACAGAAGAGGAGGAGAGATGGAATGTCAGCCTCTAGCAGCAGCTAATAGTCTAGAGTACCTGAAGAAAATGAATAGGAAATATTACTAAAGGTAGGTTGGGGTCAGATCAAACTCCATGCCGACCAGTTTACATTTTAGTTTAGAGGCAAAGGGGAGCCTCTGAGGGATTTTGAGCAAGGGAGTACCTTTAGAAGATCATTTGAGCAGGTATGTGGAACATAAGGTAGCTACATGGGACAGTGGATAAAGCACTAGGCCTGGAGCCAGGAAGACTCATCTTCATGAGTTCAAATCTGGCCCCAGACACTTACTAGCTGTGTGACTCTGGGCAAGTCACTTAACCTTGTTTGCCTCAGTTTCCTCATCTGTAAAACAAACTGAAGGAGGAAATGGCAAGCTACTCTAATATTTTTGCCAAGAAACCCTCAAATGGGGCCACAAAGAGTCAGAGTCAGGCATGACTGATCAACATATGGAAAATGGATGGGAGAGGAGAAAGACAATTCAATTCAATACAACTCAGCAAACATTTACTAATCACTTAACATTCCATACACTGCAAGAGGAACTAAGGGTACAAAAACAAGCATCCAATAGTCTCTGCATTCAAGAAGCTTATTGGGGAGACCGATTAGGAGACTGTGATAATCACTGAGCCGCTGATAGGACATCTGCTCTTTAGACAATGGAGTGTGGAAGAGACTCAGAGGCCTGGATTAGAATCCTAGAATCAGAGAACCTAGGCTCTTAGAAACACTGAGAAACACACAGCATCTGAAAATGGAAGATCAGAGAATATTAGACTTAGAGAAACATCAGATCTTAGAATCTTGGAAGAGTGGACTCTAGAATCACAGACTCTCAGAATTATGTATTCATAGACTCTTGGAGTCTCAGAGCCGGAAAAGACTCTTAGGGGGTGGGGGGTGGGGGTGGGGTCTCATCCAGTCCTCTCTTGTAGATGAAAGAGCAGCAAAGTGAGGGGAATGAAAGTGGAAGAATGAAGAGAAATAGCAGCATTAATTCGATTCAACAAAAGTTTCTCAAAAGGCTTCTGTAAATAAGGCAGGTTAATTCATTTCAGAAGTTTTCTCATGCTGGAAAAGCAATCTGCCTCAGTATCCTTCTCATCCCAGAAGATTCCTTCTTTCTGGAAGCCCCTTCCTCTGATTGGTTGGTTCTGAACCTTCATTTTCAGGAAAGTGCCCAGGCCAACCATAGCTCTGAGTGAGGCAGGATGAACCAGATGTGAGGACAGGTGTGAGGGAAGAATCAGGGAAGCCTGCTTGGAGGAGGCAGCATCTTGATTTAGACCATTAAAGAAGAGAGGGATATTAATGTGTCACAGGATGAGTAACACATGATCATAGATTTAGAACCTGAAGGGGCCTTAAAGCCCATCTATCTAATTCAGGGGTGGGGTACCTTCAACCTTCTAGGTCCTTGGGTGTAGCCTTTCAACTGAATCCAAGTTTTACAGAACAAGTCCTTTTATTAAGCGGTTTGGATTCAGTCAAAGGCTGACTTGAGGACCTAGAGGGCCACATGTGGCCCTGAGGCCACAGGTTCCCCACCCTTCTCTAATCCAACACCTTTATTTCACAGATGAGGAAACTGAGGCCCATAGAGCAGAAATGAGTTGCCCAAGGGAACAAAGTACTCTTTTCATGGATGGAGATTGGGGGTGGGGGGAGTGAGGGAAGAAAGAAGGGAGAGTTCATTCCAAGTCCAGGAGATAGAATAAGCAAAGGTACAGAAAAGATAAGACAAGAAAAGGGGATGGAAAACACTTCTGTTTGGCCACAACACAGAACATGTAAAAGGGATTAGTCTTAGATGAAGCTAGGCAGGTAGGTTGGATAAGCCAAATTGTGAATAAACTCTCTTCCCTCCTTCCTCTGCTCCTGAATGGAGTCCCACCTCTCTGTTATCAATTCTCCCTCTTTTCCAAGGAGTTCTTGTTGTTCAGTCATTTCAGTCATGTCTTGGCAAACTGGAGCAGTTTGCCATTTCCTTCTCCAGCCCATTTTACAAATGAGGAAACTGAGGTAAACAGGGTTAAGCGACTTGCCCAGGGTCACACAGCTGGTAAGTGTCAAGTGTTTGGTCTGAGGTCGGATTTGAACTCAGGTCCTCCTTCGGGGCCAGTGCTCTATCCACTGCACCTCCTAGCTGCCCTTTCCAAGAAGAAGTTGCTTTTCTTTTGATCCATAGTCTGTCTCCAGTTCTAGCTTCCCCACCTGTGCCCCAGAAATCACTCCAAAAGTTAAGATGCCAGGCCAGAGTGTGCCCCCAAGGAGTTCTGTAATATTTCCTTTGACCTCATACTCTCATCGTACCAAAGCTCAGCTCTTCATACCCTATGGGAAGGTGAGATGCTGTGGTCTGTCATGTCTGGCCAGTGAGTCATTCAAGAAGCATATGCGCCTGCTATGTGCAGGGCACTGTGCCGAGCCTTAGGGATAAAAAGAAAGGGAAAAAAAGCAGTTCCTGCCCTCAAGGAACTCACAGTCTAATGGGTGAGGCAACAAGCAAACAAATACGAACAAACTTTATACAGGATAAATAAGAAAGAATTAACTGAAGGAAGCCATAAGAATTAAAGAGGGTCCAGGACAGGCTTTCTGTGGAGGATAAGATTTTAGATGGGACTAGAAGGAAGCCAGGAGGTGGAGGAGAGAAGGGAGAACAATCCAGGCATGGTGGATATTGACTGCGATCATTGACTGGAATCCCAGCTCAGAGAAGATGCCGAGAGATGAGAGATGGAGGGTCTTGTTCATAGAACAGCAAAGGAGGCCAGTGTAACTGGATTGCAGAGTGCATGGGTAAGCAAGGCATAAGAAGACTGGAAACACAGGAAGGGGCCAAGCTATGAAGGGATTTTGAACGCCAAAAAGAGAATTTTTATATTTGATCCTGGAGATGATAGGAAGCTATTTGGGGTAGGGAGATGACATGGCCAGATCTGTGCTTTAGGAAGATCAACTTGGCAGCTGGAATGAAGTGGGGAGACCAACCAGGACCTCCACCAAAGTGGTCAGAGGACAGAAGGGGGCATATATGAGAGGTGTCACAAAGCTAAAATAGAGAGGACTTGTCAACAGATTGGATGGGGTGGAGGGTGTGGCAGAGGATGAGAGTAAGGAGTCAAGGATGACACCTAGGTTTTGAGCCTAGGGGACTGGGAGGACAGTGGTGCCCTGCACAGGAATAGGGAAATTTGGAAGGGATGAGGGTTTGGGGAAAAGATAATGAGTTTTGTTTTGAACATGTTGAGTTTAAGATTCATGGAACATCCACTTCTAGACATCCAATAAGGAGCTGGAGATTCAGGGCTAGAAGTTAGGAGAAAGGTTAGAGCTAGATAAGTAGATTTGAGAATCATCAGCATAAAGGTGATCATTGAATCCATGGGAGCTGATGAGATGACCAAGTGAAATAGTACAGGAGGAGAAGAGAAGAAGGCCCCGAACAGAGCTCTGGAGAACATCCAAAGTTAGTGTGATATGGATGAGGATCCAGCAAAGGGTACTGAGGAGTCAGGTCAGACAGAACCAGAATGGAGTAGTGCCACAGAAACCTAGAGAGAAGAGAGCATCAAGAGGAATTCTTCTCTGACCAGCTATTCCATCTCCTCAGCAGACTCCATCTTCTTCCCTATCTTACCTCAATAAGAATATGAAGGGTAAGAGAGGGAAAGGACTTTAGAGCATAGAATGTCAGAGCTGAGAAGGCCCTTA